ATAGTCTACAGATTATATTACATACTATATACCATAATCCAGACTATATCCTAAAGTAAAAGCTATTACTTACTTATGGACAATATTAAGGGAAGCCATACTATATGATTTGAGTATTTTGTTAGTATTGGTTAAATGTTTGGTTGTTTATTTATCTAGGATATTTGCTAAAGTTGTAGTACTATCGTATGTATTTGTTTAATACAAACACGTTTGATTTTGTACTCACTTTGTTGTTATTATTGCTGCTGCTGTTGATGGGTATTTGTAGTTGTTAGAGCCATAAGTTTTTACCTAGATATTTCATGTTTATGGTTTAAATAAATATATATGTTAGAGTATTTTGTAAGTTATAGCATAAAAAGTTATTAGCAGTACTTTTGGGTCATAATTTTCAAGGGTTATTTCTTTAGCTTGTTCTTCTTCACCTTTTGCCACACATTCGTAAAATATTTTTTTTTCACTCCATGTCATTTATTTGTAACATATATACACATATGCTTCTGCGTGTGTTCATAAACTAAAAGGTGTTAACGTGATTTATTTTATTTGATTAAAAGCTACACAAATATTAGAATTTATGGATTTTTCACTTTCTTGAAAGGGGGTGTGTTGGCCAAAACTAGTGATTATTGAAATTAATATTAATTTTTCTCTTTTACCCTAAACATATGAGTCGTTGCTAATAATAGAGCGTCTATCGTCTATAAATGAATATTTTTCTAGACTTTATATGACTTTTAAAAATCGATTAGTTGCTTAGACATGAAAAACTTTTTTTGTATAACTTATTAAAGATTCATAAATATTTTGTTTGGGTTATTAAAACCATATGTCTGTTCATCAGTTTTAACTTTAGAAAGTTAAACAAATAATTAGCTAAGTTATTAATTATAATCTTTGTATGTCTAGAAAAATAAGAAACATTCATATAAAAATCCATTAGTCATTGGGTTCTAGGGATATATAACATATCTTTTAAATATTAATAAATTTTTTAAATGTTATTCTCAATATTGTTAAAAATTTATTTTTTGTTAAAATTTATTTTCTATTAAAAGCTATTTACTTACCATATCACGTTTTTGCCATATTAATCATTATTTAAGACTTAAAGGCAAAAATAAAAGCTTTTTGAGAATAATAATTACAAAAATAACCAACCAAGTAAACTGTATTATACCCTGCTCCAGTATGAAATAAGTATCAGAAAAAGACTTTGCAGCGGAGCCATGAACCCTTTTCCACTTACTTCAAATTTTGTATCTTCAAGGTACGGACGGACGGACATCACAGAGTGGATTAGGGAAATGTTTCCGTAGCGACAAGTGCCATTTACAATACCCAAAAACCTTGTTAATGAAAATTTTTATAGAAATTACATTTCCCTTGGACTGATAGATATACAGACGGTCTAGACAAGATTGTATCAGCAGTACCTGTAATTTCTATATTTTACAAACGATATGATAAACTTTATCTACCGCCCAACTTTTTTTTTTTTTGATAGTCATATAAAAACTACATAAATATGAAACATGTTAATACTTATTTAATTCCATTTCAACATATTTTTTTTTCTTTTATTAGAACTGTGTGCGAAATAAAATCGTAATAAGTTATAAATATTGCAATAAAAATAAATAAAAATAACCATTAAAGTATTAATATTTACCATAGAAGAAATAAATAAATATTTTATTATACAAACACTTTAGCAAACAGACAATAGACTATTTATTTAGAAGCAGAGTCCTTGAATATGATCATAATTGGAATATATTATAAAAATAACAAACGGAACACTGAAAGAAACTTTTAAAAATCTTAATAGAAAAAAATATTTAAAACACCTCAAAGTATGCAATAAAATTGTGAATTTTTCAATCTACAACTGCCTACGTAAAGCACGCCCACTTTCACTTTCACAGTGTAAAATTAAAATGATTTAATATAAATGAAATGGAAAATATAGACGGATTTATAATCTATCCTTTAATCTAGAAAAAGTATAAAGGGAGTTTTTCAAGTGACAATCTCTATTCGTTTCCAACTCAAAAACGTTCTCTTGAAAAGTTAAAAAAAATTACAATATTTTACTTATTATACATATTAAATTATTTATCTTTTAAATCATTAAAATTGTAAAACATGTCAATCATTATTTAGAAATTTTTAAGAAAGAAAAACTAAATCAAATACAATTATTTAATTGCTATCTAATTGATTGATGTATAACTAAAAGCTGTGTACGTGTAAATAGTTAAGTATATTTCTATAGGTTTTGTATACAAATTAAAAGTAATACAAGATTTTTATATTATATTACAAGTACACAATATTTATATACATAGGAGATATACACATACATATGTATGTATATATGTTTTATTAAAACTACAGTTTTTCTCCAATCATTTAGTATAAAACGTGTATGTGTCCAATTAAAACAAGATTTATGTTGCATTTTCTCTAATTATATGAAAATAAGAAAAACCCATTAAAATTAATACCTTCTATATAATAAAATAAACATTTATACACATATCGAAGAAGATATAAAAACATAAGCAGTCGTCAGTGATCGGTATAAAAAGAACATTTTGCACACTCTAGCATACAAACGACTGTTAATACAAATAAACTACAAAATTAAATAAATCTGCCGACCAACAATAACAATTTATAACTCATAATTCATAAGTTATGATATCCTATACCAAAAAGGATGATATGCTAGATTAAAACTTAGACCACGCAGATTTTAGAGTTTGTACTACGATATAGAATAGACTAGAGCGTCGTCTTCAGTTTAGGTTAAACCAAAAAGCCTTTACTATAGAATAGACTATAGCCTGGACTATGGATTAAACTATAGTCTGGGCTATAGGCTAGTATAGTCTGGGTAATAGAATAGACTATAGTATGTACTATAAAATGAGTGGACTATAGAATAGAATAGACTACAGAATAGATTAAAGCCTAGAATAGACTATAGTTTACACTATAGAAGAGACTATAGTTCAGATTATAGTCTGGACTATAGAATAGACTATAGAATAGACAATAGAATCAACTATAGTCTGGACTAAAGCATAGACTATAATCTGAACAAGAATGCACTAAAGTCTGGACTGTAGAATATAGTTTAGACTATAGTCCGGACTAGACTATAGACTAGACTACAGACTAGACTATAGACTAGACTATAGACTAGACTATAGACTAGACTATAGACAAGACTATAGACTAGACTATAGACTAGACTATAGACTAGACTAGACTAGACTATAGACTAGACTATAGACTAACTATAGACTGACTATAGACTAGACTATAGACTAGACTATAGACTAGACTATAGACTAGACTATAGACTAGACTATAGACTAGACTATAGACTAGACTATAGACTAGACTATAGACTAGACTATAGACTAGACTATAGACTAGACTATAGACTAGACTATAGACCAGACTATAGACTAGACTATAGACCAAACTATAGACTAGACTAAAGACTAGACTATAGACTAGACTATAGACTAGACTATAGACTAGACTATAGACTAGACTATAGACTAGACTATAGACTAGACTATAGACTAGACTATAGACTAGACTATAGACTAGACTATAGACTATACTATAGACTAGACTATAGACTAGACTATAGACTAGACTATAGACTAGACTATAGACTAGACTATAGACTAGACTATAGACTAGACTATAGACTAGACTATAGACTAGACTATAGACTAGACTATAGACTAGAATATAGACTATAGACTAGACTATAGACTAGACTATAGACTAGACTATAGACTAGACTATAGACTAGACTATAGACTAGACTATAGACTAGACTATAGACTAGACTATAGACTAGACTATAGACTAGACTATAGACTAGACTATAGACTAGACTATAGACTAGACTATAGACTAGACTATAGACTAGACTATAGACTAGACTATAGACTAGACTATAGACTAGACTATAGACTAGAATATAGACTAGACTATAGACTAGACTATAGACTAGACTATAGACTAGACTATAGACTAGACTATAGACTAGACTATAGACTAGACTATAGACTAGACTATAGACTAGACTATAGACTAGACTATAGACTAGACTATAGACTAGACTATAGACTAGACTATAGACTAGACTATAGACTAGACTATAGACTAGACTATAGACTAGACTATAGACTAGACTATAGCACTGATAATACAAAACAGAATATTAAGCTCAAAAAGCTCTTCATAATAATTTAAAAATTAATTGTATCATATTACAATATAAATTTTTCTACTATTCATATGTCCTTTTGTTTAAAATTTCCTTTTTTTTTTGTCTTTATTAAATAAGAAAAAAATTCATAAAATGTTCAATATATAAAGATTAAATTACTTATATTATCTAACACGTAGTATATTTATTTCATTATACTTAGATGTAGTTTGTGTATTTGAGATTTTAGGACTCATTAAAGGATTCTTAATATCGTTGAACTTTAACTTTAGTTGGCAAATATACACGTACTATTATGGCTTAAATGGACTGAGAAAAAGGAAACGGAATTATTACTTGAGTACCAAAAAAATATTTTATTTGTTTATGGACATTTTTAATAAAGAATTATTTATGGTGCTAAGTAGTAATACGAAATACGTGATGAATCCTAGTGTAGGTTGAAAAAAAAGGATTTTTTGGGAAATAAATTAACTATGAATGTTTTAAGCAGCTGGAATAGAAAATTATAGAATTTTATTAAAGTGTGTTTTTTGTCAAATTAAAGACAACACCATTATTCAAGCACAAGTCTTATTTCTATTTTTTTTTTAGTTTTAATAAATCACTATTAAATGTGTTTATTTATTTACAACCAACTATTTATTTATGTGATTATTAATTAAAATTGTTTTTCCTTGTATTTCTCTTTTTTCTCAATTTCCTTCATCAAACATCCACAACATTAATGCAGGTTATAAACGTGTAGCTTGGCCACCAGCATCTGAGGAAAGAATTGTACGTGAATTTACACCACAACCTCAGACTCAATTCCCACCAGCGCCCGGTTATAATCAACAACAACATCAACAACAACCAGCTGCTCAAGCCGCCGCTGCTGTACCACCAACTCAGGTAAGTTTCTGTTTACTATTTTGTTGTTTAAAACGAAATAAAGTGTAAAACCGGAAAAGAAAAACGTTGTTGTTTCTTTTTATTTCCGTTTCGTACATTTGTAATTTAATATTACAATTTGTAGATATTATAAATTAAATTTCAAAAAAAAAAACACAACGTACTTTTTCGTATATTGTATATTTTTGTACATATAGTTTGTTTACTTTTATATGTTTATTTAATACATGTTGTGTTACTATGTAATACGGTCCGTTATACGTTATAGTTTATTGTAAAAGAATTTTTATATGTTTTTTAGCAATAGTAGCAAATTTACAAGCAAGAAAAATCTTTCATTAGTATTGTATAAACGTTAAATAAATAACCAACACTACTATAACATGTACGATTACATTTGTATACATTCTGGTTCTTAATTTCAATTTAACATATACATAATTAAATTTCATTGTAAATATTGTCAGAAAAATGCAACTAAAACCTTGTATGAGGGTGGCTTAGAAAATGGTAATATGAAGTTGGAAATGCACTAGAACTGAACTAGAACTGAACTAGAACTGAACTAGAACTGAACTAAACTGAACTAGAACTGAACTAGAACTGAACTAGAACTGAACTAAGAACTGAACATAACTGAACTAGAACTGAACTAGAACTAGAACTGAACTAGAACTGAACTAGAACTGAACTAGAACTGAACTAGAACTGAACTAGAACTGAACTAGAACTGAACTAGAACTGAACTAGAACTGAACTAGAACTGAACTAGAACTGAACTAGAACTGAACTAGAACTGAACTAGAACTGAACTAGAACTGAACTAGAACTGAACTAGAACTGAACTAGAACTGAACTAGAACTGAACTAGAACTGAACTAGAACTGAACTAGAACTGAACTAGAACTGAACTAGAACTGAACTAGAACTGAACTAGAACTGAACTAGAACGACTGAACTAGAACTGAACTAGAACTGAACTAGAACTGAACTAGAACTGAACTAGAACTGAACTAGAACTGAACTAGAACTGAACTAGAACTGAACTAGAACTGAACTAGAACTGAACTAGAATGAACTAGAACTGAACTAGAACTGAACTAGAACTGAACTAGAACTGAACTAGAACTGAACTAGAACTGAACTGAACTGAACTAGAACTGAACTAGAACTGAACTAGAACTGAACTAGAACTGAACTAGAACTGACTAGAACTGAACTAGAACTGAACTAGAACTGAACTAGACTGAACTAGAACTGAACTAGAACTGAACTAGAACTGAACTAGAACTGAACTAGAACTGAACTAGAACTGAACTAGAACTGAACTAGAACTGAACTAGAACTGAACTAGAACTGAACTAGAACTGAACTAGAACTGAAACTAGAACTGACTAGAACTGAACTAGAACTGAACTAGAACTGAACTAGAAATGAACTAGAACTGAACTAGAACTGAACTAGAACTGAACCTAGAACTGAAATAGAACTGACTAGAACTGAACTAGAACTGAACTAGAACTGAAACTAGAAACTGAACTAGAACCTAGAACTAGAACTAGAACTAGAACTAGAACTCGAAACTGAACTAGAACTGAACTAGAACGGAACTATAACTGAACGAGACCGGAACTAGAACTGAACTAGAACTAACTAGAAACTACTTGGAACTAGAACTAACTAGAACGGAACTAGAACGAACTAGAACTGAACTATAACTGACTAGAACTGAACTAGAACTGAACTAGAACTGACTAGAACTGAAACTAGAACTGACTATAACTGAACTAGAACTGAACTAGAACTGGAACTAAACTGAACTAGAACTGAACTAGAACTGAACTAGAACTGAACTAGAACTGAACTAGAACTGAACTAGAACTGAACTAGAACTGAACTAGAACTGAACTGAACTAGAACTGAACTGAACTAGAACTGAACTGAACTGAACTGAACTAGAACTGAACTGAACTAGAACTGAACTGAACTAGAACTGAACTAGAACTGAACTAGAACTGAACTAGAACTGAACTAGAACTGAACTAGAACTGAACTAGAACTGAACTGAACTGAACTGAACTGAACTGAACAACTAGACTGAACTAGAACTGAACTAGAACTGAACTAGAACTGAACTAGAACTGAACTAGAACTGAACTAGAACTGAACTAGAACTGAACTAGAACTGAACTAGAACTGAACTAGAACTGAACTAGAACTGAACTAGAACTGAACTAGAACTGAACTAGAACTGAACTAGAACTGAACTAGAACTGAACTAGAACTGAACTAGAACTGAACTAGAACTATATAACTGAACTAGAACTGAACTAGAATGAACTAGAACTGAACTAGAACTGAACTAGAACTGAACTAGAACTGAACTAGAACTGAACTAGAACTGAACTAGAACTGAACTAGAACTGAACTAGAACTGAACTAGAACTGAACTAGAACTGAACTAGAACTGAACTAGAACTGAACTAGAACTGAACTAGAACTGAACTAGAACTGAACTAGAACTGAACTAGAACTGAACTAGAACTGAACTAGAACTGAACTAGAACTGAACTAGAACTGAACTAGAACTGAACTAGAACTGAACTAGAACTGAACTAGAACTGAACTAGAACTGAACTAGAACTGAACTAGAACTGAACTAGAACTGAACTAGAACTGAACTAGAACTGAACTAGAACTGAACTAGAACTGAACTAGAACTGAACTAGAACTGAACTAGAACTGAACTAGAACTGAACTAGAACTGAACTAGAACTGAACTAGAACTGAACTAGAACTGAACTAGAACTGAACTAGAACTGAACTAGAACTGAACTAGAACTAGGACAAAAGCATTCGGTATTTCCTGAGTTTTTATTAAGCCACTCTAATGTATAAATTTTTTAATATATTTATTATTAAACCAATATTCAATACAAACAAATAATTCACTTTTTTACTTTAGCATTTGCTTAACCTTTTTTTGTAATATAATTTAACCATAAATACATTCTTAATATTCCATGGATTTCTTTGTAAATACATTCATTTATTTACATGCGTTTGATTTTTTAAAGTAATCTATATAACTATGGCAATATAACAAAACAACCTAAGTCGATTTAAGTTTAAATACCAAAACAATATATTCAAATTATATATTAGTAAATTTCCAATATACAAAAGTTTTTAATAGAGCCAAATTTAAATTTGTATTTTAAATTATTTTAATATAATGTTGCAGTTTTAGCGATAATCATATACTGACAACTCATTATTGGAAATTTTTCTTGAAGCTGAGATTTAACGAAAAATTTTCCTTATAAAGAGATTTTCAGTCTTTTTTTTTTGGGAAAATTTTGTCAGTTAAGAGTTATCAATATGTCATTATTGATTTAATAAAATTTTTTAATATTTAATAGTTTATTTTATTTTAAATACACATTTATATTAATACAAAAAAACATCTGGGATTTATTAGATATGTGTTTAATATTTATATATGTGTATGTATGTATGTATGTATGTATGTATGTAGAGTTTTTATTAGTAATTTTTATTGTATATTTGTAATAAAAATATGTAGTTATAGGAATTTGTATAGAGTTACTTTTTTACTATTATTTATTTTAAAAATGAAATATTTATAAATATTTTCAAATGGAGGGTAAGTGTGTGTGTGTTTATTTCTCTTTTACATACAGTGAACGGAAATAAAAAATAATAAAAATAACTGTTCTTATTATAACCCTTCACATTTCACAATAAAATTTTTGACTTTATTAAGAATAAATGTATAGGGTGCATAATGTATGTATATAATACAAGTTTTGCCACTCACTGTATTTATTTATATAAAACAATATTATTGTTAATATTATTTTAAAAAATCCGCTCTAGGAAATATTCATTAAAAATGGAAAAACATATTGTAACTGATAAGTATCTATGTGGATTAAATTTGACGCGTTTTGAAGAATTTTTTTACATTTATTAATGTTTTTCTCAATATTCTAGTGAATATTTACAACGATAGAATTTCATAATTTATTAATATATACTGAGACATACATACAATTCATTATTTGTTGCAACATAAAAAAATAAATAACTTAATTTAGTTTATGAAAATATTTATAGTTCTTAATTGCATACAAAAATTTCTTTAATAAAAAGTTTTCCCGTATAAAGGTCATATTTTTTACTAAAGTAAATGAAGTTTGATTCCCTCTTTATGGATAGCAAAGTTCTTTACTGTGAAATCAAAAAATGCTCTAATTTAAATTTTTAAGTGTTTTATAATCATTTAATACAATTTTTAATTAATACAAATTAATTAAAATTTGTTTAACTAAGTTAAACAATTTATTGCATTTCAATTAAATTATTAAAAAAAAAACTATTGTTTATAGATTTTTTTAAGTTTTTGTTAACAAAACATAATTTACCTTAATCATACGTCATGTGGTATGTAAAATAGTTATTGTTTAAATAAAATTATTTTTATATTGTTTAAAACTACAATAGATATTTTAACATTATTGTAGTTATTGGCTTAACAAAAAAATATTTTTTATTTAAATAGAAAAATCAATTAACTCTTACATTTTCACAAATAAAATTACTAAAAAAAAAACTGTCAGTTAAATGTTGTCAAACTGTTACTATTTTAATATAACGATAAGCTGTTGAAAGCTTGTCTCTGACCATCTCGTTTTCAGCAAGTAATGATCATGTGTGATAATGAAATCGAATAATATGTTAAATAAACATAATTTACAAGGTGTCAGCTACTGAAAAACACTTTTTCATAAAACAAAGTTTTGTTTTATTTATTTAATGAAAACTACTTTAAACAGCAAAGAAATATTTATTAAAAATTTTATTAAAAATTAATATTGAAATATTAAATTAAATATACCATGACTTATGTGACTACATGATGCCCTACACCAAACAGTTTAAAGAAGTTTAGATTTATAGATCAAACATTTTCTTTA